AAGCCACCAGCGCCCGCCGCCGCGGCCCGCACAGCTCGCCTGAGCGCCGCGGGCCAGGCCTCCCGGGACTCTGCCCCACCGCGAACCGAAAGGGACCCGGGCCTCCGAGAGCCGCCGCAGTACCGCATGCACAGCAGCACTTCCTCAACGCCGGGAAGGAGATCCCAGCATGCCTCTCTGCAGATCAGTCCGAGTTGTGATGCATTCTGGGACCTGTGGTGAGTGTTTGCATCCTTTGCTAGAGCATCCCTGGTCCCTCCCATCATCCTCCCGTCGCAGTTTCCATGCCAGATTTGCGAAAAGAAAAACTAGGTTCTGAGATTTTTTTGAAATTTATCTGAGTATATGTATACGTCGGAGCCTATGGCAAACACGTGTTTCTATTTGCTCACTGTCTTAGTGTCAGGTTCTAAATTATGCAGGTTAATTAAGGCAGGTTCCTTCGTCAAGGTTACAAAGTTGTCTGCTGCCTGTAGTTACCGTCTCCCCAGAGTTCCCACTAGAAGTGTTGTTTGTACCTGGAGGTGCCCTGCGAACTGATACACAAAGCACAGGACATTCTTGGTGAGGCAGAGACAAGAAAAAGAAATAAAACGGACACCATAAGTGTTGCAAACTGAGTTACAGAAGTACTAATGTCAGGAAGTCTCTCCATAAAGCTACTGATGTAAGAAAGTCTGGTTTTAAAAAGACAGTATTAATGTTACAAAGTCTGCTTACGGAGTTACTAATATTAGGGACAGTTCTGTTTAACGAGGAGGACATCGTGTTGAACAACAACAACAAAAAAAACTAACAAGAAAGAAGACTAAGACTGAAGCAACAGGAATTTTGAGGGTCTAAGCCACAACGTGCTAGAAGAGTGATTGAGTGGTTCTCAACTTGTATGTCTCCATCTATTTGAGTGGGGGAGGAGTCGAATTACTTTTCACAGAGTGGTCTAAGACTTGGAAAACACAGTTATTAACATTACAATTCATAACAGCAAAATTTGTTACAAAGTAGCAATAATTTTGCGGTTGGGGTCACCACAGATTTAGGAATTTAACTAAAGGGTTGCAGCATTAGGAAGGTTGAGAACCACTGGATTACAGAGTAAGTTTAGAGCTGCAGAGTCTTAGACACGCTTTGCCCTCTGAGGAAGCTACTGGAGTATTTAAATGGGGTGTGTGTGACATAATCTGATAAGTATAATATTTTTAAATGCTGAGGATGTGGTTCAATGTGGTACAAAAAAACCTTTTGCTTCTCTGAATCTGCTAAAGGAGGGTAAAAGAGCAGAAGTCATTATAAGAGCAAATGGTATTCTTGCAGAACAATGCAAACGAGAAAATGAGCAGATTAATAGTCACCAATTAGCTGAGAGGTTAGCAAAAAAGTGAATTCCCTAGATTATTAAAAATATTCAGAAAACTGGGAAGGAATTTGAAGGGCTGAATAAAAGAAAACTTTGTGAAATGTCTAAACAAGGTGAAGCTAAAACCCCACCTGCAGATTTCCTCCATCACCAGTTTCCTGTGTGATTCATCTTTCCCTCCAAGACTGGTTTAGTTAATGAAGAAAGGTGAACAGGCCATCTTCTGTAACCAGGCAAGACTTCCAATTGTGGGATATCAACCTGGCCACAAAACCTTCAGCCTATAGTCTGTCATGCCTCCAGTCTGTGCTGGGGCAACAGAGGTGCAGACATTGTGGGAGTGGCCAACCAAAGACTGGTCTAATTTGAGGACCATACCATGAGAGGGAGCCCCTGCCGAATACTGCCTGGATGACCAGGAACTGGAGGCTGGATAGCCCTGAGACTTGGATAGCCCAGAGACCTAGAATAGAGGAGGGGGGCTGAATCAATAAAATGATGCCTATGATATTCTACTATATTCATAGATTGGTGCCTAGCCCAGTTGTCATAAGAGAAGCCTCTGCTGGCTGCTGATGGAAGCAGATGCAGAGACCCACAGACCAACATTAGGTGGAGAGAGCCCAAATTGGAGATCTCCATCGAGTCCCTCCCCTAGGAGCCAGGAGAACCCTGCAGAAGAGGTTGGGGATTGCATGAACCACAGGGATTGAGGATACCAGGAGAACAGGGATGACAGAATCAACTAAGCAGGGCTTATGGGCTTCACAGAGACTGAAGCGGCAATCACGGAGTCTGTATGGGTCTGTATTATAATGGTTGTTGGCTTGGTGTTTTGGGGGGACTCCTAACAGTGGGTATGGGGATGTCTCTGACTTTTTCACCTGCTCTTGGGACCCTTTTCCTCCTACTGGGATGCCTTGCCTGGCCTTGATATGAGGGTCTGAGTCTAGTCTTATTGTATCTTGTTACACATATTTGGTTGATATCCTGAGAGGTCTGTTCCTTTCTGAAGGGAAGGATGGAGTGGATCTAGGGGAGAGGAGAAATGAAATGGGGAGACTGTGAGGAGTGGAGGGAGGGGAAACTTCAGTTGGGATATATTGAAAACAAAACTAAAAGGAAAACAAGATGTTCAAAAAAAGAAAAAAGAGAAATGAAGGAAGAAAAGGAAGAAAGAAAGAAAGAAAGAAAGAAAGGAAGGAAGGAAAAGAAGTCCAGAAACATGCTATTTGAAGAAAAGCTATTAGTTTATTTATTTTTATGTCGGCTTTGACTAAAAGCACATGCATTCAGATCATCAGGATTTATATTGTTTTAAACAAAAGTCTGTAGTATGTAAATAAAACAAATCTGAACTTTGTGGAATGTCTAAACAAGGGGTAGCTAAAACTCCACCTTGGTCTTTCCCCCATCACTGGCTTCCCACATGAGTCATCTTTGACTGCAGGACAGGTTTAGTTAACTAAGAAAATGGCTCATAGAGACAATGCAACTACCAGTGGGTAAGGCTGCTGTCAAGGTGTTGGATTGAAAATAGGAAGTAGAAAACAGGAAATATTGAACTATGAGTGAAAAGTTTTGTGTTTGGGGTTCAAGAGGGATTCTGAGATAAACTGCCCATTGGGATGAGAAATATATTGAGTTATTAATGGCAGAGACAGGCAGGCAGCAGCAGAGATGCTCTGGGGAAAGGGATGGTCCTTGTGCCAGAAGTGATTCCTTATAGGTTTCAAGGAAAGGGTGGTGGGAAGGAGATTTTAAAAGTTTTCTCATAACCCATGGTTGGCCATTTCTAAGGTAACAAAGGAGTGATGAGTTGTTTCATTAAGGTTTCTATTGCTGTGTGAGAGAGAAAAAGACCAGCATGAACAAAAGCAACATTGGAGAAAAAATTATTTCAGCTTGCAACTCTCATGTCACACTCCATCACTGACAGAGGTCAGAGGCAGGACAGAAGCAGAAACCATAGAGGAGTTCTTCATGGCTTGCTCAACTTGCTTTCTTGTATAACTAGGGATCACCTGCCCAGGGGTGGCACAACCCACAATAGGCTGGGTGGGACATCAGCCCATCCCGGCTCCAATGGTTAATCAAGAAAATGCCTAATACCTCACAGGATTGCCCACAGGCCATTCTGGTGGGGGAATTTTCTCAGGTAAGGTTCCCTCTTTCCCAATAACTCCGGCTTCTGTCAAGTTGACATAAAACTAACCAGGATGTCAGTTAAAAGAATGGCAGGTGGTGCATAAACATGTCTCCTGGATAGACATTGTTTTGAGTTCATAGAGCAAGGATGTCAGGAATCTAGAGAAACATGTTACTTGAGTTCTGCAAACCAAATTAGTTTTGACGATTGTCACGGTTCAAGCGAGGTGAAGGAAGGTGTGGAATATCACTTTAACTAGACAAAGATACGCTACATTTGTTTATGCTGCATTCGTTTAATGATGTAAAAATGTGTTGCTCTTTCACCTTGCCTGTTTAAGGCACCTGATTGGTCTAATAAAAATCTGAATGGCCAATAGCTAGGCAGTAGAAGGACAGGCAGGGCTGACGGGCAGAGTGAATAAATAGGAGGAGAAATCTATGCTCTCAAGGAGAGAGAGAGAGAAGGGAGAAGAGAACAATGGAGAAAGAGAGGCAGATGCCTGGGGCCAGCTAGGCAGCCACCAGTCACTCAAACACAGAGTAGGATATACAGAGTGAAAGAAAGATAAAAAGCTATGAGGCAAAAACATAAAGGAAGAGAAACAGTTTAATTCAAGTTATAAGAGCTAGTGGGACAAGCATAAGCTAAGACCGAGCATTCATAACTAATAATAAGTCTCTGTGTCATTATTTGGGACCTTGCTGATGGCCCACAAGAAAACCTGCTATAGAGGAACTTTACAAAATGCCATGGTCCTGGAAAACAGAGAATCCCTTAAACCTGTTTATCCTATCTCATACTGAGGCCTGATGTGTGTCTCCAAGGCAAGAGTTTGAAAATTCTCCCCTGAGAAATGATAAAGGAGGAAATGAGGAAGGGCGAAAGAGGAGGGAGAAAGGATGGGGAGAGAAAGTGAGAGAGGGAAGGAGGGATAGAATATTGTCTGACAAGAGTCAGCCTTCCCTCCTTCCCTTGTGTTACCCAGTGGAGAGGGCACCAGCTGATGAGCAGAGGAAGCCCCACGGATGTTCACTTGCTTACTCTTCAGTGTCTTATTCATCAGTGTGAGTTGTTAGATTAGGATTGATGGAGGCAATGGGAAAGTCAGAGGAGCCAGCTTTCTACTGAAGCAGATATCCTTAACTGGAACAAGGGAAGGCAAGGAGTCTCCTCCCAGGAGTAGAAGACGTATGCCTAGGCACAGGAGGCTTGGAGTTTTTTTAGGGCAGAAAGAGAACCTTTGTGGTAAAAATTTTAATCTGAAGATCTATTCTTTGTAGTCCTGAGGGCTGAATAATGCCAACTGAATAATGTTGTGGAATATTCCTTTACCCTGTATGAAGATGTGCCACTGTTTAATAAAAAGCTGAGCAGCCAATAGCCAGGAAGGATTTCCAGGCACAGGGGACACTGGGAAGAAGGGGGAGACACCGTGTAAGCAGTACAGAACCATTTGTAGTGAAGGTTACAGGTGAGGCATTGCCATATCCTTGAGAAAAAGAACTTTAATCACAAACAGGAACGAACCTAGTTTGTCTTGTTAATCCCCCTGAAAGTGAGTAAAGACTATTACCCAAATTCTTTGGTCAAATTATGCAAGCTTTACTTTTTGGCAGACAGGGAGGGCTATTTATCTAAAGTGAGGTTTGAGAAAATA